GTCTGGATCCTGTTTCTATGCCCTAGGCTCGATTATTATCCTTTCCAAATTCAAAATCCGCGAAAAACGCCATCGGTTACGAGCAGGGGAAAGCGGCGCTATGGTCATAGCGCCGCTATGGCTGTAATACCCCGAGCTGTGCAGTCCATCGCTAAGCTGCATAGCGCCGCTTCTTTTCTGGCCATAGCGGCGCTATGGTCATAGCGGCGCTATGGCTTGAAATGTTCTTCTGCCCCTCGCTTTGGTTCACAGCGCCGCTTTCTCAACAGACCATAGCGGCGCTATGGCCTGGACTGCTCCAAAAATTCCTCGAATTGGCTCACGTGGTCTCGGCTAGCGTCCCTCGGGTTTATCTCGAGCTGGAAACTCAATCCTCGAATGCTCCAATCTCGCAACTGATACAGAACTCCTGGAGACCTGAAAACACCACCATCGAACAGACACAAAAGCAAGAGAAAATAGAATAAATAACAACGAAAACGCTAAACACAACGAAAAATACTAAAAACTCGAGAATGACTAAAAAGGACCGGAAAATCCTAACAAAAGACCTAAAACGGGGGAAAACATCACACAAAATAGCAACGAAAACAGCAACAAAAACGGGACAAACATTAATCACGTGATGTGCTGTCGATTATACTCGATCACTGTGTACTGGAGCGCTAGGTTGATGAAATCCCCTAGATGAGCTTAAAAGATTTATTATGCCAAGTCTTGCAAGCAGATTTAATTACGGCATAGTAATAAGGATTGAGTAGTACTAGTCTTGGAACATCAAGAAGTTAACTAGTTATATCTTCAACAATTAAATTAATTAACGGATGTTATATATTTGGCACAGAGAGATAAATCAAGGACAATGGAGCCTATATAATTGGGGTGAACGGAATAAAGTGCAATAATAAATATTTAGTGGAATTATTTATTATTAATGGCCCAAGAAATGGGTGGACCACAAACCCAAGTATTTCTTAGCCTAGTGAGAGTTCCCCTAGCCTCCTTAGGTCCCTGTCCTAGCTCATATATGAGTAATATGGGGAACTCAATCTCAGAAAGATGAATCAATCATATTCACACGCCTAAAACTGTGAGCCTAAAAACCGTGAGAGGGAAAGAGTTCCAAGCCACACGTGTTTGGTAGATCGTCGTCCAAATGACGTCCAACCGAGGCAAGAAATATAATAGAAAATCGAAGGTGTTGGGAGATCACCGGGGACCAAAGGCGACCATCGACGATCCGCACACTACCACCAGCGGCATTGCTCCACCGGAGACGCTCTCCAGCCCATGGCAACTGAAGTCGAATGAGACCTGAAACCGCAGCCAACGCGGGACCAGTAGCTGCAGCGCACGATCAAGTGCAGCCCAGCCACACGCACCAGTTCTCGGCAGCTCCACGCAACTCCCGAAAAACTACGCGACGATCGCGGACGGCAACCTGGCGACGTCGAGGACAGCGACTCGATGAACGGAGGACGCACATACAAGACGGACGAAGGAAGGTTTAAGATATCTCAAAACCTTTGTTTGGGTCCGTAGCTCGTGTAAGTCTTTAGAGAGTCGCTTTCGTGAAACCGTAAGATCTTGATCCTATATTTTAGTCTTCCACTAGGATTAATTTCAAAGGTAATTGATTAGAGAACAATGACCGATGTTCTTCGTCAAACCCAACAACACGATCAAATTAAATCATCTAATATATTCAGGTAAGGAAGAAAAATACTATCTCGTATTTAAATTTAAATCATGTTTCGTTTACATATTCAAATTTAAATCATCTAAAGCGGGAGATATGTTCATGTTCAAATTTAAATCATCTAAGGAGATATATTGGAGATTTCTCGTATTTAATTTAAATCGTATTTTGCAATATTATCCCATATGTAAATTTAAATCATGTTTGACGCTTTAAAATTTCAAAGTTTTAGAATATCTTATACAAAATATACTTTTTTATATCAAAAGAATGATTTTTTAAAACATAATTAAATGAATTAAAAAGAATGTCTTATAAATAATATATTTTCATGTCAAACATATGATTTTGAAAGCTTAATTAAATGAATTAAATGGACTTCTTTAATAGAAAAATGCAAGATGCTATAACATTCAATGTAAACTTTCATCTCATGTTTTTGAACTATAATATAGGAATTTTTATATGCCATGTTTTGAAAGGAAAAATCTGGCATCTTATAATTTTAGGAATTAACATCATTGAAAAATTTTACCCTTCAAATAAGTTAATATTTGAAATAAAATTTAAATTTTATTTATTCATTAAGCAGTCAAACGTATTTTTAAAAATCACAATAGTTTGTACCAAAAAAATATCACAATAGTTGTTTTTCATAAAATTTTTGAAATTTTATGCCACAAATAAAGTCACAATAGTTGTTTTTCATAAAAATTTTGAAATTTTATGCCACATAAAGGTCGAGACTGATTTCCAATAAAATAAGTTTTGAACTTTAATCGTCGTAACTCATAAATAAAGGTCGAGACTGATACGAATTATTTCAAAAAGATAATTAGCAGATTTTAAAAAATTCTTTTGCATAATTTATTTTTTTATGATAGTTAAAAATCAAAATCTCAAAGAAAAAATTTCAAGTCTAAATATATTGAAAAATAAGTGCTGGTTGCTATCGAAATTTTTGGTCAATGAGAACTTTTTCTCTTGAATGTAACACCAAACACAATTAACAGTAATATTAAAAGCAATTTACAATAGTGCTCTCACAATTGCACCTACACTTATTATTTAAGCACCATAACTACTATCAAATGATGATCATCACAACCATAAACTACCAATTCAAGCAGCCGTCATTCCCATGATAGCAATATCTCAAATGTGAAACACACACACACACATGTAAGATATACTCCTGCAGTTTCCTTGTTAGTGAATTGCAACTTCCTTGCACTTTCATTACAC